CGGACACAGAGCTACCGAAGGTAGTAAGAACAATATAAATAAGCAAGAAAGTAAAATATTATTGAGCTTTTAATAGAATATAATGTATGTTTGTCAGAAAAATCCTCCTCCTTACAATGGTTATGGGGTTTACTATTTATAGTACAACGAGGTCCTAAGATCAAGCCCTTCTTTAATAACAATTATGAGGGCCGCTGAATAATATATAACGCTAAGCAATGAATGCTATATTCTCTGTAACAGACCGTGCACTTAATACTGTGGAATATTCCTCATTAAATGCTACCATATGGTGGGCATTTACTTCGCTTTTATGTATATCATTCTCTCTGATACCAAGCGAGATCATTGCCCTCAGGCCCTTCTGTTTTCGGCTCCACGTGTCACTCTTTCATGCTAACATTAAATATGAATATATTTTATCCCATACATATAGTCCCCTTGCTTTCCAGTGGCATAACTTTGTGTCACCGAGAAGTTGGTAGAGATACCTTTCTTGGCGAAAAATTCTCTGCCTCCCTCTGAAAAGTTTCTCACGGTTGATTAGACGCACGTCTCTCCGCATTTAATGCCCCGAACATGCGTCATCCCACGATTCAGCATCACTTTTGCCGGTTATCGAGGTAATTATGGCCACGATTTTAGCCGCCTATTCCTTTACTTATACACATCAAACTTCTTTATTTACACTTTCTAATTCTCCAAACTTTCTCAAACTCTCTTTACTCAACACGTACTTTGTCTTCAACCTTTCTTTAATCTTCTTCTTCAGAGAAACCCTTACTTCCTATTTGATAAAAATGGCTTCTTCTTCCAGAAACCCTAGTTTCTTAAATAACAAAGGTAAAGCTGATGATGCTGATCCTCCTATGGTGAGCACCATCATCCCAAAAAGTCTTATCATTACTAAAGACTTCGAGGAGAAGTATCCTTCTGCTAACCTTCGTACGTGGGCCATTGGCGTGTACCCTTTTTCCATCCGTCCTTCCAGTATTCTTGCTGTGAAGGAAGACTGCCATTACCATGATTTAGACATTATCACTCCTAATATGGCGGAGCGGGTAACTTTGCCCAAGAAGGGTTTTACGTATCTTTATACGTATCCCTTCACTTTGGGGCTGTTCTCTTTGAGTGGGGAGCTTGATTCCGTTGTTGTGGAGTTCTGCATCTGTTACCAGGTGTGCCTGGCACAAACTAAGTCCTTCTGTGTGAAGGACAGTTACTTGCCTTCAGTGTCTATGCCAGGAGACGGGAGAGGAGCTAACCCTAGTTCGATTAATGAACCTTTATTCCCTCAAAGTCTTTCGCGAGGGAATGATAAAATTTAGCAAACATGGTAACCATGCTCTACTAGCCAGCATGAATGATGACAACGACCGTGGATGGATGGAACGGTTCGTTGCAGTTGCCACTAGAGATATCATTCCGGCCACGGCTTCATCCTTTTCAGAATTGTGAAACTGTACGCGTAAGTTCATCGCTTGCTTCTTCTTCTAGCTAAAGATCATCCCATGCTGTTATTGATTCTTCTTCTTTCACTTGTTTCAGCAACTCGATGGGTTCCACCGAGGGTCAAAGGCTTGGACCAGAGGGTCCAAAAAATTTTGGATATTACTATGCCCGAGACATGTACGTGGAAGGAACTAACCCTTAAATATGGGTGGAAGGCCAAAAATCATGGTAGGTTAGACTTATCTTGTTTTCCCCTTTCGTACAAGAAAAACGGATTAACCCTTTTTCTCTTATTGAATTTAGGTCTACCCAGGGCTCACTTGTCATCCCCGAGGAGGGCATTTTGGCTAATCTTGATGATGCAACGAGGCTGCTGCAGGAGGCCTTTACCCAAACAGGTGTCTCCGGGCCTGCTTCTGGTGCAAGTGCTTCTTCTCGGAGTCCCCAGCCGGAGAACAAGCAACCAAAAAGAAGACGTTCCTCCGTGGCCGGGGGAAAAAATAAAAAGACAAATAATTCCGCACCTGATTCGTCCTCGGAAGTTGTGGTAATGAGCCCCGTGCCGGAGCCGGCCATAAACACTGTGGTGATCGACGATGATGGAGAAGCCAACGAGGAGGGGGCTTCCCTACATAGAACACGATGACCTTCCTCAGCTCAACAGAATGCTCAATCTGTTGAGTCAGTTACACCAACCGAGGAATATGCCTCGGCCCTCTTGGGGGGCGGGGGAGTTTGATATAGTAGAAATTTCCATCTCCCATTTTCGAGTCCTATTACCGCGCCCGATACTATGAGGCTGAGTACCGGGTCCCTGTCGTCTTTGGTTGATGAGTAACTAATAATCAGCACTGCATTTGCCTTAGCTGCTTCGCCATCAGCTTCATCTCCTTCTTCACCAACTCTGCCTTCGCCACCAGCAACTGTTACATCATATCCACCGGCCGCGGTTGTTCGAGAGGATGATGTCCCTCTTTCCCAGTCCCCAGATCATGGGAATTTGGTGCAAAATTATGATGTCCCTTTCGAAGATCCCCAAAGGAGGAGGAGTTTTACCCTCTTGGTCTCTACCGGATGCCATCTGTTGTCCCAACCAGTGGAACTTGCAAACTATCTGAAGCCTTTGGCTTCAGAAAAAGATAGGGAAAAAAATACAAACTTTCTCGGGAGAGTGTTTGTTGAACAATGCCATGCACAATGCAGCGGGCGATATAATCTTTGTTTCCTTTATTTCTTCTATCTTTTTTATGGCATGGTTATGAATTTGTATTTTTTCGTTTTGCAATCCAACTTTCTTTCTTTCGAGGGCCTTCAAAGGCTGATTCATAATAAGGAGGCACTTACCTCCGAGCGAGGTCAAGTTTTGGTCGAGCGAGAGCAAACTGGTACTCGACTCTCAGAGCTGGAAGCACGAGCTTTTGAGGCCGTTGAGTTGGAGGCTCGGTTGCCGCAAAGCAAGCAAGAAGTGGTAACCCTTAGTCACGCCCCGTTAAGGGCACAATTTGAAGAAACTAAGGCCAAATGGGTTGAAGTCCACAATGTCATTCTTGCTGCATCCGTTGGTGAGGCTGCCTCCGTTAAACGGTTGAGAAATTTGGAGATAGCCTTAAACTCCAAAACTGAAGAAGTTACTGCTGTCGAGGCAAAGTATTCCCGTTTGGTGGAGAAGCATAAAAAGACCATTGAGCACAATAGGGTTTTCAGTTCCACTATCCGTGTCCTTGATGTCAGCCTTCGGGCCACTAGATCCACGTGGGATAACCTTTCTGCTGAGGTTGGCCAGCTTAAAGAAGAACTTCAACGCCAAGTAGCTTCCATCATTATTGAAACAACATATGCTATGTACAACATGAGGAGAAAAACTTTGGAAGAGACCAAAACGGGTGTTATTGACTTTGATGCCGAAATCGCTAAGGCTTGGGAGTTGGAGTCAAGTGCCAAAAGGGGTCTTCCGGTCCAGCCTAATGCTACCGATTCTTCTGGTTCCGGTTCTTAGTTCTCGGGAACTGAGAAAGAACCGGAAGGTGATGATGTTGAAGGCAAAAATGATGAAGGCTAAGATATCGAACTGATGGCAGATCTACCCACTTCTTCTGGGGGCGTAGATACTTCTCTTCTTCCGGGTTCTCGAAATATAGCAACTTAGTTTTTGCTTTCTTTTTTACACTTTTTTACTTGTGTTGTTTGGCACATTCATTGTGAATAGAAGTATCTTTTTGTTCTAGTATTGTGCAAGTTTTTCTCTTTGCGTCCTTTTTGTTTAAGTATTTGCGCAAGTTTGCTATTTGCATCTTTTGTTTTGTTTAAGTATTTGCGCAAGTTTTACTTTTCTGTCGAATTGTAAAAGGCTTCGGGTGTATTGCCCCCCCGAAAGCACTTGGATTTCGGGCATAAGTTCTTCCGAAATCAACCCTATAACGTGAGGGTTTTCATAAGAGAGGGCCCTCTTATGTTTACATTACTCTTGAAGAGGACGTCTCCTATTCATTACGGCACTAACATTTAAAGTACTTGTTTAACTTTCAAATGATAAAATCAATTCATCATTCAAAGAAGAAACAAGATAGAAATAAAAGGACTTTACTTTATTCCTTCCATTTTCAAAAGTACATAAGCATTCGTTGTGCTAAAAAGAAGTTGCCATTACTTGTGGCTAGCTTGTACAACTTATTTCTATGAGACTGGTCACGCAGTCCCCGGTCCTGATGATACAATTATATTTCCGGATTTCATATTCCGGTTGATGTGGCAGTCAATTCATGTCGTATCCTCGTATCAATCCCCCCCAGTGTTCGAATGTAAAGAATCCGAATTTGAACACTGGAAGTTTTTCACCTTTGAGGATTCCACTAGTGAATTGCTAGATAATCTTCAGTTCGATAACAAACTTCACTTCCCCTTAGGAATTTATGCTATCGACCCAAAGATTATCTAACAATCCCCTAGTGGCTTGCACTTGTGAATGGTCGGGTAATCTCTGTTTGGCAACAAACTTAACTTCCCGGTAGGAACTTTACTATCGAGCAAAAGACTATCTAACCTCTTTGTAGTGGTTCTTTGCTTGTGTGCCTTGTCATTTAAAGGTCTTATTGTTGCTACTGAAGCTTCCTTCATAGAATGCTTTCTGTTGCTGCCTCGTTTAAAACCTTGCCAAAAAAACTCAATTGGGACAAAAACTGGATAAAGGAAAAAAGAGTGCAACACATATTTTCAGTACAGGCGATGTTTATTAGCAATAGTATCTCTTTAAGTGTTCCACGTTCCAGTTGCTTGGTAACTTTTCTGCATCTTGATTTTATAACTCGTATGACCCTTTTCCGGCGACAGCTGAAACCCAGTAAGGGCCTTCCCATGTTGGACCTAGCTTCCCCGCATTGAGATCCCGTTTGTTCTAAGTTACTTTCCTTAAAACCAAGTCTCCTACTTTGAAATAATGGAGGTTGGCTCTTCAATTGTAATATCTCTCTATTCTCTGATTTTGGGCTGCCATCCTTATATGCGCCAAGTCCTTGCATTCATCGAGCAGCTCTAAATTGACTAACATTGCTTCATTGTTTTCTTCTTTGTTTGCCCGAAAATATCTTAGGGTAGGTTCTCCTACTTCCACCAGGATCAGGGCTTCTGCCCCGTGCACGAGAGAGAAAGGCGTCTCCCTCATGCTCGATTTGGCCATACACCCATAGTACACCTGGCAGCTCTTCGGGCCATTTACCTTTAGCTGCTTCTAATCTCTTTTTGAGATTTTGTATAATCACTTTGTTCATTGATTCGGCTTGGCCGTTTGCACTCGGATGATAGGCTGAAGATGTGATCCTCTTGATTTTCAAGTCTTCAAGGAACTTTGTGACCTTTGCGCCTATAAATTGTGGCACGTTGTCGCAGGCTATCTCTTTTGGTATACCAAATCTGCAAATTATGTTCTCCCATAAGAAATCTACCACTTCATGTTTGCCGATCTACTGATAAGGACCTGCTTCAACCCATTTAGAAAAATAGTTAATTAAAATCAAAAGAAATCTTATCTTACTGGGGGTCGGTGGTAGTGGTCCGACGATATCCATTCCCCACTTCATGAATGGGCATGGTGACAAAACTGAGTGCAATGGATCTGCCGGTTGATATACCAACGGTGTGTAGCATTGACATTTATTACAATTTTGAGCATAATCTTTGGCATCTTGTTCCATCCGAGGCCAATAGTATCCTGCCCTAATCAATTTTAATACTAAGGAATCTGCTCCTGAATGATTTCGTAGATCCCTTCATGGACTTCTCGCTTAACATAATTAGCTTCGGAGGTTCCCAAATATTGGGCCAACAGGCCTTGGAAAGATCTTTTATACAATTGACCCCCCTTGAAGCTTTATCAAGCTAATCTAGTGCGTAGTGCCCGAGATGCCTTAGGATCTTCGGGAAATTTTCCCGTGCTCGATATAGTCAATAATCTCGTTTCTCCAGTCCCAGACCAAATTAGTCGCGTTTACCTCACAATAGCTATCCGCGTTGAATACCAAATGTATAAGTTGTACTACCGTACCAGAGTCTAATCCATTCATCTCTATTGATGATCCAAGGTTAACTAGTGCATCTACTTCTGCATTCTCTTCCCTCAGGATATATGTAATTGACCACTCCCGAAACTAAGCAAGAAAGGCCTGGACCTTCATTACGTATTGTTGCATGAGTTCCTCTTTGGCTTCAAAGATCCGTAGATCTAATTTACTACCAACTGGGAGTCACATTTGATTTCTATGACTAGTCTAGTTCCTCGGACAATTCGAGTCCTGCAATCAAAACATCATACTCCGCTTTATTGTTAGTTAGAGGAACAATTCTTATGGTCGGCCTTAGGGTTTCTCCTGAAGGCGTGGTTAATACTATGTCAAGCCTGGACTCTTTCACATTGGAAGCTCCGTCTGTGAACAAGGTCCAAACTCCTGATGTCGATTCCGGCACCATTACTACTTCTTTGGTAGCCAGAGATAAAAGTCCCGGACTGAAATTGGCCACAAAGTCGGCCAAAACTTGTGACTTAATTGCAGTCCTAGGTTTATATTTTATGTCAAATTCGCTCATTTTGATGGCCCACTTGGCCAGTCTACCTGAGAGTTCAGGTTTATGAAGAATATTCCGTAGGGTAAAAGTGGTCACCACAGCTATCAAGTGACATTGGAAATAAGGCCTTAGCTTTCGAGCGGCTACTACGAGGGCTAAGGCCAATTTTTCCAGATGTGGGTAGCGTGTTTCTGCTCCCGTAAAAAATTTACTTACATAATAAATAGGAGATTGCGTACCTTCATTTTCGCGGGCTAAAACAACACTTACTGCTACCTCCGAGACCGCTAAGTAGATCAGTAGTTATTCGCCTTCCTCCGATTTTGACAGTAACAAAGGACTTGACAAATACCTTTTGAGATCCTTCAAAGCCTACTGGCATTCCGGTGTCCACTTAAAGTTATTCTTCTTTTTTAGAAGTGCGAAAAAATGATGGCATTTTTTCGAAGATTGGGAAATGAATCTGCTCAAAGGGGACAGTCTCCCCGTTAGCCTCTGAACCTCTTTTACGCTTGATAGCTGGTCCGGGATATCTTCGATGGCTTTAATTTTATTAGGGTTAACCTTGATCCCCCTTTGTGACATGAGGAATCCCAGGAACTTACCAGATCTGACCCCGAATGCACACTTCTCGGGGTTAATCTTCATGTTGTGTTTCCTCAAGATGTCAAAGGTCTCTTGTAGGTGATTCAGATGGTTACCTATGTTCAAAGACTTAACCAGCATGTCATCTATGTAAACTTCCATAGTTTTTCCTATTTGCTTCTCAAACATTTTGTTTACAAGCCGTTGATAAGTGGCTCTGGCATTCTTTAGCCCGAAAGGCATCACATTGTAACAATATGTGCCAAAGTTCGTTATGAACGAAGTTTATTCCTGATCCTCCAGGTTCATATTGATTTGGTTATACCCGGAGAAAGCATCGAGGAGACTCATCAACTCGTGCCCGGCCGTCGCATCAATAATTTGATCAATGTTTGGCAATGGGAATGAGTCTTTTGGGCACGCCTTATTAAAATCCTTATAGTCTACGCACATGCGAAACTTATTCTTCTTCTTTGGAACTACTACTGCGTTAGCTAGCCAGTTAGGATACTTTACATGGCCACTTCTGGTGGGGTACCTGTCATATCCATATATGACCATGCAAAACAATTTTCATTTAATTTAAGAAATTCAAAAAATCCAGACCTGAGTTCGGGGTGCAGTCCTGTCCCCAAGTGGAAGTTCCTCTCCAAGAACTTTTCGAATAATACGACTTGTTCAAGTTCTTCTACTGTGGACTTTGTTGCATCCGTCTCTTCTTGTACCTAGAAATACCTTAGCACCTGATAGGATTACGATGACTCTTCCCCCTGGTTGACTTTGCTCGGCTCGGGAGCAGGCGCCGGTTCCTATAATTTCTATACTGCATGCTCCTTCCCTTTGCTACTGGAGACTGAGATTGCATTCATCTCTCTTGCTGCTGGTTGGTCACCTCTTATTTGTTTAATTCCCTCGGGAGTTGGGAATTTTAGCAACTGATGGTATATTGATGGGATGACCTTCATCTCGTGCAACCATGGTCTCCCCAGGATGATATTGTAACCCATATCGCCGTCTACTACCTCGGAAAGGGTCATCTTCATAACCCCTTCGGCATTCTTGGGCAGTAGGATATCTCCCCGGGTTGTCGCGCTTGCCAGATTTAACCCGACAAGAAGTTTCATGGCCGGAATGATACTTCCGGTGAGATTAGATTGCTCGAACACTCTCCATTGGATAATATTGGCCAAACTTCCAGGGTCCACCAGAACATGTTTAATTTTAAAATCTAAGACATTTAGAGAGATTACCAGGGCGTCATTATGCGGTAGCAACACGCCGTCCGCGTCTTCCTCTATAAAAGTTATGTCATCCTCGGTGACTTCCCGGAGTCTCTTGTTGTGTGTAACCGACACCTTTGTCTTTTTTGTCGCTGAAAATATCACACCATTAATCTCGTTCCCCCCAAAAATCATATTGATCGTCAAACGTGGAGGATCCTCTCCTACTTTTGAAGGCTCCATGTTATCGTGACTGCGGCCGTAATTGTTTTTAGCTCGATCACTCAAAAATTCCCTGAGATGGCCATTTTTCAGCAATGTTGCCACCTCTTCGTGCAGATGCCGACAGTCGCCAGTCTGGTGACCGATTGTCCCGTGGTATTTGCACCACAAATTAGGATCCCTTTGGATGGGATCGAATCTCATTGACTTCGGGAACCATGCTTCTTTAATGTTTTTGTTAGCCGACACCAGCTCCACTACGCTGACGTTAAAGTTGTATTCGAAAAGCCTGGGGTAGGAAGAATCTCGAGAACCAGACGTTTCCTTATCCTGCAACGACCTGTTATTTCGGTCGCGATCAGTTCTCCTATCGATAGTGAATCTAATCCGCCGACCGCAAACCTTTGCCGCCAACTATGTCAAAATCATCATTTGATTTTTCTTTATTCCTTTCCCGGTCCTGACCCTTGTCCAACGCCGGGAAACCGAGCTGATCATCCTCAATCCTTATATTTGACTCGTACCAGTTGTGAATATCCGCCCAAGTTGTTGCCTGGAACTCGAGCAAACTTTCTTTCAACTTCTGGGAAGCGTCAGAACTTCTCGGATTCAAACCTTTGGTGAATTCTTCAGCTGCTCATTCCTCCGGTACAGTTGGTACCAACATCCTTTCCTTCTGAAATCTGGTCACAAACTTCCGTAGCAACTCATATTCTCCTTGTGCAATCCTGAATATGTCTGCCTTTCGGTCCTGTACCTTTCGGGCCCCGACATGGGCCTTGATGAAAGAGTCCGCGAGCATATCAAGGAGTCTATAGAGTGCTTGGGCAAAAGCGAATACCATGTCAAGGCTCCCTTCGTAAGAGTCTCCCCAAACTTTTCAGTAAGACTGTCGCAATCTAGTGGGGAGCTAAATCGTTTTCATTCACCACCATTATATAGGTGGTGATGTGCTCTTGAGGATCTGAAGTCCTATCATACTTTGGCACGTCTGGCATTTTAAACTGCTTCGGGATCAATTCTGGTACCGCGCTTGGTTTGAACAACAATTGTGTGTACTTCTTTGAGTTCGGCCCTTTCAGCACTGGTGGTGCGCCCGAAATTTGATCCAGAAGCCAACCTCGCCCCTCAGGGTGTTGTTGTCGACCCTCTGCATTATTTGATTTGCGGGAGCATTGGGAGGAACTGGACCTCATCCATTTGTGCTGTTGGAAGCACCCGACAACGCCTGCTTTAATTTTTTTATGACCTAATCATGCCGCGAGAGATGGCCCATAATGGACCTTTGTTATTCCCTCAGGATCCTTACTATTTGTATGACGTGCTCATCTTCAGCAACGTCATGGGTTGCCACTCGAACATATAGTGGATATTGCCCGCCATGAACTGGCGTGGCCTCATTCCCCTCGTTGTGGGTATCACTGATGGAATCTTCGTGCTGGGGCTGATTTCCTTGGGCCTCAACATTGTATGTGGTATTGAACCCGTTATCTGCCATTTTTAATGATTTTTTATAAGAACAAAGAATCAAACAAGTTAGTAATAGATGCAGGGATCAATTCAATTACACAATTGTCTATGCCCCACGGTGTGCACCAAACTGTTTACTCGTAAAACGGTACAGTTAAATTTATACGTAGTTTATAAACAAGATAATTGAATTGATCCAAAAATAATAGATGAATTAGACAAAAATATAAGGCTTAGCCTTGAAATTGAAATAAAAGGACACATATCTTAGTCCCGGACGCAGAGTTACTGAAAGCAGTAAGAAAAATATAAATAAGCAAGAAAATAAAATGTTATTGAGCTTTTGATAGAATATAGTATTTGCTTGTCAGAAAAATCCTCCCCCTTACAATGGTTATGGGGATCACTATTTATAATGGAATATTGTCCTAGGATCAAGCCCTTCTTTAATGATAATTATGAGGGCCATTGAAAAATGTATAACGGTAAGCAATGAATACCATATTCTCTGTAACAGACCGTGCATTTAATATTGTGAAACCCTCATTAAATGCTACCAGGTGGTGGGCATTTACTTCGCCTTTATGGATATCATTCTCTCCGATACCAAGAGAGATCATTGCCCTCAGGCAGTTCTGTCTTCGGCTCCACATGTCACTCTTTCATGCTAACATTATATATATATATATATATATATATATATATATATATATTACCCCATATAAATAAATGTAGGGATCAATTCAATTACACGACTGTCTATGCCCCACGGTGGGTGCCAAACTGTTTACCCGTAAAATGGTACAGTTAAATTTATACGTGGTTAATAGGCAAGCGAATCGATTTGATCCAAAAATAATAGATGAATTAGACCAAAATGTAAGACATAACTTTGAAATTGAATAAAACGATATATATCTTAGTCCCGGGCGCAGAGCTACTGGAGGCGGTAAGAATAGTATAAATAAGCAAGAAAGTAAAATATTATTAAGCTTTTGATAGAATATAGAGTATGCTTGTCAGAACAATCCTCCCACATACAATGATTATGGGGATCACTATTTATAGTGAAATGAGGTCCTAGGATCAAGCCCTTCTTTAATGACAATTATGAGGGCCATTAAAGAATGTATAATAGTGAGCAATGAATGTTATATTCCCTATAACAAACCATGCACTTAACACTATGGAATATTTTTCATTAAATGCTACCAGGTGGTTGGTATTTACTTCGCCTTTATGGATATTATTCTCTCTGATACTACTGATTTGAATAATTGACACTGATTGATAAAAAATGATTGGTCGCAGTTTGCCACGGGCAGTTGTACCAACAAAGAATGGCTCGTGTCTACAACAAGAAAGTGCGGCCCAAGAAATTTGAAAAAGGACAACTCATTCTAAGACGTATCCTCCCACCTCATGAAGAAGCTAAAGGAAAATTGGCTCCAAATTGGAAAGGTGCATATATTGTAACGAGAGTACTGCAAAAGGGAGCATTGTACCTGGAAAGAATCGAAGGAAATGACCCCGAGACAACTATCAATGCAGACGCGGTCAAAAGGTATTATGTTTGACCCTTTTACGCAACTTTAATGCTCTCTGATTGGGATGACGAAGGCTTTCATTCTTGATACCCAAACACTATAAACCCCTTGCAAACCCTTTGAGCCGGTTACCTTTTTTTTGATTACCCTCTTTGGAACCTGAAAGCTTATTGCAAAAAAAAAAAAAAGAAAAAAGAAAAGAAAGACAAAAAAAAGAGAGAAAGAAAATGAAATGAAAAATGAGAAAAAAAGGAAAGGAAAAAGAAAGAGAAGAAACCAAAACAGAAAAGAAAACCAAAACAAAAGAAAATCATAAACAAAATTCTTTGAACTATGTTTGACTTGATTTCGAAAGGATACGTAGGTAGTCTCTCTCTGGGGTTCAGTCACACCAAAATAAAAATTCACACTCCCCAAAAGTTAAATCTAGGGCAGAATTTATAATGGTTCGGCGATGGTTTCGCCCGAAGGGTTCCAAAGTTGTAAGTGAGTCCAAATCTTTTTCACCCAAACCTTTTTCAAAGTCCTTCCGATCAATCAATGAGAATGTTCAAGAATTGGAGAATACAGTCACATGATCTGATGCAACCAAAATGAGAGAAATGAAATGAGAGATTCTTGTTGGTGAAAACCCTCACGGGCACCATAAGGCGATGGTAAGTAAAGAAATTAGAATGAGAGTCTTGTTAGTGAAAACTCGCAAAGAGCACTATAAGGCAATGGTGAGAATAGAAATGAGAGAGGTCAGTTGGTGAAAACCCGCAAAGGGCGCCACTGATCGAAAAGAGGAACTTCATAGCCATTGGCATTGACACAGTCCTAGGCAAGGTTTCTCGGTTTCAAGGCAAAACTTGTGATGAATTTTTGAGAGTCGGACAGTTTACATAGATCAGGCATCCAGTCCAAAAGGTATGTCATGTTCATTGAAGTCCGCATGCACTCCAGATAAGTCCTTCTTTCCTTTCCCGAAAGGGACACTTCTTGCCTAAATTCATTCTCTATTCTACTGTTTGTTTTTCTTTGAATCCCTTTCGGTCTAACTTTGTTCCGAAATTAAGACAAAGAAAGGATGGTAAGACTAATTTATAGGACTCTCGTTTGTTACAAGATAATATGCAAAAAAAGGCACCCACAGCCTTGGTGGGGGCATCAAGTCAACCTCGACTGGCCATGGCAGCCGATGCTCCAAAATTAAAAGATCTTAGAAGGAGAAAATAAAATTGAAGTGCCTACAAAGGCAAAATGAAGTTGAAAAGATTAAGTCCCACTTGGCTAACTGTCTTGGCAAAGTTCGAAAAGCCAAAGGTTCCCCAATGCTCTGAAGTTAAATTTAGAGGAAAGAAGTCAAAAGCCTACAAAGGCAAAATGAAGCTGAAAAAGGTTGAGGGCCATTGAAGAATATATAACGGTGAGCAAATGTATGTTATATTCTCTGTAACGGACCGTACACTTAATACTGCGGAATATGCCTCATTAAATGCTACCAGGTGATAGGCATTTACTTCGCCTTTATGGATATCACTCTCCGATACCAAGCGAGATCATTGCCCTCGGGCCCTTCTGTCTTCGGCTCCACGTGTCACTCTTTCTTGCTAACATTAAATATGAACATATTTTACCCCATACAATACGCGGAATAAATAATTTAAACTACGTCCTTAAGGATATCTGGGAAGAAGTTCAAAACAACCTTATAAAAAAATAAATTCTACACCAAATAAGAATAATTGTACTTATCGTTATAGTACTGCAAAGTAATATCTCCCTTATTTTTTCTTATTCAAAATGAACCAATATGCTGATAAATACTGCAATAACACAAACTGAGAAGCTTAATCCTTGTATCAGCAGAATTAATGAAATCAACGTCTTATTTAGTGTCTCTCACAAAATAGGTATTAGTTAAATTCTCACTATCTCATTCTCTGCCTTTTCTCCTATCCTCTATTTAATATAGGGCTGCTTATCGGGCAGATCGGAAGGTTATTTACTCTTAATAATTTCGCTTATCGGTTATCAGCTTTTAAATATATTAATCCACTAGCCACCTGATAAGATATCGGGCGGATTGGTATCGGTTTAGCTATTATCGGGCGGTTATCAGGCGATTTATCGGTCTTGTTGAATCTGTATTACAGAGGCCTATTTTGGTCCTTCGTGTTATACCGTTACTAATAAATACCAGCAAAAAGTTAGTTTACTTTGCATGTATTCCCATCATTTTTTACCGTTACCTCCAATGATCGTAAAACACAAGCCATTGCATGTTACTATCTTCTTTTCGTCAACAATCTGGTCCATCTAGTGGCATTATGATCTCATTTACCTATATATTTATAACATACAAAGAAGGAGATTGTTGGCATGTTATAGGTTTGAGAAACATAAAAAAATGGAAATTCTTCAACAGTAATGCAGTCTGCACATTCTTCAGCTAACATAACAGTTAACACTTCCTAACATGGGAATTATATCTGTCAAAATGAGTTCAGAATACAACTAGAGATAAAATGGAAATTTAGAATAAAATCTAGAACAATTGGAGACATTCAAAATACAACTGCTACAGCAAACAATGCTTCAATTTCTACAGCTTCAAAGTTCAAACAACTTGCAAAGATGAGAGGAGGAATGAGTTGAGGAGCAGTAGATTCAACTGATGCAGCAGCAGATTCAGTCAAGAGCATCAATATTCTTGATAACAATAAGCAGATTCAGTTAGCAACAACAATAAGCAGATTCAAGCTTATGTTCTTGTTGACCAACAAAAGGAACAACAATATACAACAAAAGCCTACAATTAGAGCAACAGAAAAAAAGGATTCTATTTTCTCATCAAGAAGGGACAGAACAGAGCCACAAAAACTTGAGAAAATACAAAATGTGAACATGCATTATAGAAATGATGCATGGGACAAACTGTGTTCCTACATGCCCAAGGATTACAACTTGTAGACAAAATGTAATTTAGAAGGCCATACTGTTCTAGAAAGTATGCTCGAATATCCAACTTGTAGAAAAAAATATAATTCGAGCGTAGCCAACTAGACAAAATATAATTTACAAGTCCATACATTTCCAGAAAAGAGGCAATCACAGTATAAATCCAGACAACCTCATAAACTAGTTTCGCTAGAATATTAAACTAAGCACTAACACACATGAGTCATGCGATAAATATATTAATAGATTTATTACCACTATATTACAATTTGAATTCTTACCAGATATATTAACACTACACGTCAATTACGAAAGGATCTTTTCCATCGCTAGCAAAATCTGAAGAAAAGAATTATAATAATAAGTCGTGCGATAAATATAAGCATATCCATAACACTAATATACAACAAATATAGAAACAGTATTATTACCTTCTTCAAGCTGCTCGATTTTATCAAGTATCTTCCTCAACACTAATAGGTTATTTTAATTTTTTATTTCGAAGCCAATCTTGAAGACACACTAGAGCTTGCACCAA